GCGGGACGCCGGGTACATGACTCTTGTCTGCCGCTCTACCTTTTCACTTTCGGCGGCCACGTCACGTGACGATCTGCCTGGCTTTGTCAGTATAGAGGAGGCTATGGTTTAGATTATGATGTTTCCTAACCAGCTCGCATGTATACTTTAGCTCCTTGCGATGAATATCATCTACTTTATTCCATTCGGTTTTCGCCTACAGAATGTATAAATTTCCTATATTCGACTTCTGAAACACCGAATTACGAGAGCATCATCAATATACTCGTCGCCCGGAGAAATAGCTGGTCTCTCGACCCTGCAACAAATAATTTTTTTACGATCTCTCCATTACAACATCCCGACAGTTTTAAATAAATTTATTTTTAATGAGAGGCGTATATCTGATTCCAAGAGCCGATTTACGCCCACATTTCATCTAGGCTGTTCAATGTTTCTGATAGATGTTTTTTTGTATTGATGTTTTATATGCAGGTAATATTATAATCTAAATCTTTAGACAAGAATAAATAAAATAACCGACAAAACGACACAAAATCTCAAGCTGTTGTATTGTCTGTTTCTTTATTTCTCGTTGTCTCAGTGTTTAGATTATAATATTTCGAGATCTCTTCACCAAGCTCTGCAGCTTCCAGAAAAGATTAAAGAGATTAAACTTATATAGTCACCCCCCCTCCCCCTCCTCCTCCTCCTCCCCCCCCCCCCCCCCCCCCCGCACCATAGCACCTTGCCGCGGATGATTATCATCACCGTTTCCTCACCGCTAGTTTTGCGCCTGCTGCGCGAGTGGTCACTTTGGTGCAGCCCCAGGTTTCCTTTCTGTTTCAAGTCGTTCTAAAATTGACTGACTTGGTGATTTTTGATGACGCTCAGTAAATTTCTAATTGGAACCATATGTCTATTTTCATTAATTAAAAAAGTTATTTAAAATTGGTTAATTACCCGAGTTATCGTGAAGATTAGCCGCCTACATAACGTCCCCCGGGACTATAACTTACCTGCACAAACCGCATTAGTGTACCTTTTATGTTTTTTTTTTTTTGTAATAAATATTTTCGAATGCAAAGAAAACACCCTGAATATTTATTAGTTTTTCCAAGGTTGTGTACGCTAATTTTATTGGTGCATAATTTGTAACAAGATGTTTCTAGTTTCTATTTTTATTTTGCATTTCAAATCTGCCGGGTTTTTTTTGTTTTTTTTCTTAGCAGACTTCTAGATCGCGTCAAGCTGCTTTTAGCAGCTTTTTTGTCTGGGAGACCCCTCCAGCTCTAGCGCTTGTTTTCCTCTGCAGGAAAAGGGCCTTGGTTGCAAGCGTGCGGTTCAACGCTTTCTAGATAACAAAGCAGTAGCTCTAAATTTTCTACGTCGCCTAGTGGAGGCCAATGCGGGTTCCAGTTAATTAATTAACTGGAACCCGCATTGGGTTCCAGTTAATCTTAGTATCGTAGCGCAGTCAACGAGATTGCTGTATTGGTCGACAAGTACGACGCAGAACGAATCACGTAATAAGCACTGTGAAGATAATAAGCAATTGCCTTACACATGTTAACCTCCGAGTGACTATATAAAAGCAGATTTTGAAGTGTACAAACTATTTGAAAACACTTTAAAAAAAGTCACATACAAGGCAACTTGTTCACTTTCAAAACGTAACTGAAATGTTGTATTAAAAAAAGGCTTCCAGAAAAGAAAAAAAAAGGTACCACCTTTAGTGTTTACTCATTAGCTTTTTTCCTTTCCTTTGTGCGAAGCGCTGCGATTGGTCAAACCACTGATACGTTTGGTACATTTCATGCATGAAGTGCTCTTGATTGGTTAAGCGAATTGGCCAATACCAAAAAAGATGCTACGGTATTCAACGAAATATTTATGGGAACGTAACGCCTTAAAAGATACAAAACAACAACAATAAGTCGTGAATGAGTGGTCGCTTTAATCGTTATTGAGACAAGGGGGAATAAAATGTGTATGCCATGATGGCGTCACCCAATCTGCGGATAACCTGAGGATATAGATTAGTTGTAAGTAGTCTGAAAACCTGATCGAGGGACTCTGCAGTCTAAAAATGTCCCCAATGTGTACAATTTTCTACAAAGAAGTAAGATAAGCAGTCATCGCTATGTATGTTAAAAAGCAGCGGGGCGGAAAAAAAAGCGATGATTTAAATTGCGTTTTAAATCATGATTCAAACCGTGATTAAAATCAGACCGGTTTTACTATGATGATTTAAATCAAACCTTTTCCGCAAAAGCAATAAAAAGAAAATATTTTTTTATTTACTTCGTCTGTCATTTGGTGCTCTGTATGTGCATTTTTTTATATATAAATCAATGAATTATTACGTCAGGAAGATTCAGAACAGGTTGAACACGATCACAAAGCGGCAGTCCCCTGAGAAACTTGGAACGTTGAGCTTTCTTTCTACCATCCACTTCATTCGTCAGTTACGTAACCTCCTACCGCAAGTAAATAAGGATGTGAAAAAAGGTAACTGTAGAAAAGTAATGACCTAAAGCAAGAAGATCAGAACGCAAAAAAACCCCTAATAAAGCTGTTTCACTAACTAAAAAAAAAAAGGAAGATTAAACTCTTTTTGTTCTACTGTAGAAGTATTTAGTCAATAAAAAGATGTAAAACTGTACTCTAAATGCACAGTAATTATTTCTTCCGCATTGTTTTCAGTGATCGGACAAATTGATCAATCAATGTCATGTTTAACAATGCATCTAGAGATTAAGAAGCACTATTTTATAGCTACATTGATCTAAATAAAATAAATCTGATTTAAGTGAAATAAACCTTATTTAAATCGAATACAGCGGAGCTTTTTTACTAACTAAAAATATGAAGCTGCTTTTGTTCTACTATGTCGGGGCTTACTCACTAACAATTTGTTAATTAAACAGTACATTGAATTTACAGTAATGCTTCCGTATTGTTTTCAGTGATCGGGCGAATTGATCAATACATGTCATGTTTAACAATACATCTAAAGATTAAGAAGCACTATTTTATAGCTACATTGATCTAAATAAAGTAACTATGATTTAAGTGAAATAAACCTTATTTAAATCGAATACAGCTGAGCTTTTTTACTAAGAAAAAAAATCAAGCTGCTTTTGCTCTACTATGTCGGGGCTTACTCACTAACAATTTGTTAATTAAACAGTACATTGAATTTACAGTAATGCTTCCGTATTGTTTTCAGTGATCGGGCGAATTGATCAATACATGTCATGTTTAACAATACATCTAAAGATTAAGAAGCACTATTTTATAGCTACATTGATCTAAATAAAGTAACTATGATTTAAGTGAAATAAACCTTATTTAAATCGAATACAGCTGAGCTTTTTTACTAAGAAAAAAAATCAAGCTGTTTTTGCTCTACTATGTCGGGGCTTACTCACTAACAATTTGTTAATTAAACAGTACATTGAATTTACAGTAATGATTCCGTATTGTTTTCAGTGATCGAACGAATTCATAAATAAATCTGCCATGTATAAAAGCTACGGCTAGTAATTACAAAGTATGTAGTAACTACAATGATTTAAATTAAATTGGCGTGATATAAATCAAACAAATCTGATTTATATTATTAAAAAAGAAAATCACGACTTTTTTCCACCCTGAAAGGCAGGGCGTATGATAAAGCCGAAATCCAACAACAACAACTTGTTCACCGAAAAATTAAATTCCAACCCAGGTTCACGAAGGGGAAAAAAAAAAAAAAAAAAAGAGGGAAGGATGGAAGAGCTCACTAGGACTGTTTTACTTCGAAATGTAGCCGTGAATGCGGCCCGCGGTGATTTTGAGCCCATAGAGTTATTATAATGTACGCTAGAGGTTCAACTGGCGCTAGTGTTTATGCGACTTCCGTGACGCAAATTGAAGCAGGCAGCAACCAGTCTACTTTTGCGGTGCGCCTGTGCATTCCTATGGGAAAACGCGCGTGCATTGTGTCTCCTCGACGGAAAATAACACGGAACGCTTTGGTTAGTTGGGTCGTACCGAATAGTATGTACCTTGATTAACATTGTAAAAGTGTAACTGCTTTAGTTAGCGCATTTTTCGTCATCAGTGAACGATGTTTAACTTCGCTACATTTCAGTCCCAAGCATGTGTTCCGCAGCAGGTGTGTAAAAACAAGCGACGACTCAAAGCAAATTTACAATTGAAAGGAATATAGAGTGTGTTCAAGATTCACCAGCATTCCGGTGACGCTTATATATTGCTAGTATGCCAGTCCTCGCACTATATGAAAATGACCCCGTCGTGCATGAGCGGATAAACACATTCAAGAATAAAGATTAAAGTACGTGGGCGATGAAAGGTGTCTCTTCGTAATGCTTTCACTGCCGGGCAGCTTTTATCGGGCACTTGTTCTCAAAGATTTCGAGCGTGCGTTTGATGTTTTCAACGCAGAACAAACATCTTCGCACATCTTCACGAGCAGAAAGAATAAAGCGGTACTTACTTATTTAAAATCAGAATATATTACGTGGCCTTCAATTTATTTTGATCGTCCATGCACGGTTAGTTACTGATTCCGTGTTACTGCGTAGGTCTTGCCGTCTCCCTTAATTTCCAGAAGTCCTTCGTTCGTATGGCACGTATATTTCTCATGCTGAAAAGCGCCGACGTCGTGTTCGCGCTAACAATGTCCGACAGTGCACATAAATACACGTATAGAGCCGTTAAGGCACCGTTTTTAATGCGATGAATTTGAAAGATAAACGCCGTAACTGACCAATTATTTCATCGGCCTGACTGTGAAATGTTACAAGCTACCTAGTACGTACGAATTATTCGGGATATTTGCTCTTATGATCGAGCGCAGAGAGAAAAGGCACTCACTTTTTCCCGTAGAAATGCATTACCGGAAGTCAATTTTGGACTGGTTGCTGTCTGCTTCAATTTGCGTCAGCGCACTAGCGCCACTTGAACCTCTAGCGTACATTATGATAACTCTATGGTTGAGCCAAGCGACTTACGGATCATTTCCAGCTTGACCGCGGACACGACGGGAGCCGAGATGTTGTTGGACACCTGGCAGGAGAACGTCGACAGGAGGTCGGAGCGGTACAGCCTCGGGATGACTGCGTCGCTGCGGATGTTTCCACGGGCAGAGGCGCGGCTCGTGTTGGCGATCACCTCGCCATTTCTGAACCACGTAATGGACGGGTTGGGCTCCCCTGCGCGAAATAAATAACAGGGAAGGTTAAACGGATCTCGACAGTGCACATCCCAATCCCAGCTCATTTTTTTTGTTTGTTTTTACGTAGGACACGTTATGTTCACAAAAATTATATCGAGCGCCTACTTTCCTGCAAGGCACTCGAGACAACCAATGGCTGCAGCATACGGAGGGTGCTGGGTGAATAGTGAAGCTCAAAATATCTTTAGCACTAAACAAATGCATATGTATACTATATCTATTGATATGTACAATATACGCGGTAATAATAATAACTATTATTTGTTATTCCGTGCCTCAGACGACCGAAGTTTCGATATGAGGAACGTTCGTGAACACTGTGACGCTGGGCATGGTGAAATGTTATGAGCAGCGTCCCAGCGCATTAAAAAAAAATTTTTAGCATCTTCATTTGCCTAGCATTCTCCGTAGACTTCAGAAGCATGTGGCTCTCTCATGTGCTTTGCAGGAAAGTATACGCTCCAAATTTCTTGTGGTGTATACGTGGGAGGACTACACTTGGTTTCAACCTTAAGTCCAGACGCACCCGACGCTACGAGCTGTTGGGGCCAATCAGACGGCGGCTAAAGCTCACCATCGTGGTGTTCGTCATGTTGCTGTACATGTTATATCATCGCCTAACCAATCATATACAAGAAAGGCCTAGTGATTGCGCTTTTGACGCTGCATGATTGGCCCTACTGGGTCGTAGCGTTGGCTGCGTCTGGACTTAAGCTGAAACTAGGTATAGGCACGCTCAAGATTTACGAAAAATGCTCACATGTCCCGCCGAATTTGGTGGACGAAGACCCAACCTTTAAATTTAGCGGCTTTCGTTGACATGGTACATTTCGAACTTTAGTGATCATTGCGATAGTGTCACCGACGCAGCCGGTTCCCTCTTGTGTGCCCGCCTCCCTCCCACTGGCTGGTACAAGCAATGATGTGACCGCAACATCAATCAATGGCGTTCTCGTCAACATGTCGCGGTATCCGTCTGGATACAAAAATGACTGCACCGAGATTTTACGACCGAAAACCGCATTCTATACGTATGACGATTTCTTTTTTTCAGAATTACCGAACTACTGCTAATTTTTAACATGGGAGTGACCACAATCCCAGTCAAGTCAATATATTTCGTAGTTTGACGGTTGTCGGTAAAGGGGAGCTGGAGAGGTTGTTAAAAAAAAGAAAACGAGTTAGGGGTGAATTCTAAAGTATTGTTATCCAGTGAATCTGAATATCACGTTCTTTTTTTTTTTTGAAGATGTAACTAAACACGAGAAAACACGAAAAACCTCCGACCAGTCGTTACGCCATAAAAGCATCTTCGGGCCGCCAAGCGCGTGTCGCTCGTGCGGGCAGCGCATGAAATAGCAAGCTTGCCAGGCATATTTCCCCGCACTGACACCAGTTGTGGCGTCTTTTTCTAACCTTTTTGACAATAGCGAGAGTGCGCGTGCATAGCTTTAATAGACGCTTAATATGCGCGAAAGCGGAGATTCCGAAAACTCTGGATATGACGTCATGCTTCGGGTAGGAGGGGCTTCAGCCGTTTAGTTTAAAATGATTTTCTGTGGTCTCCGTGCACCAAATGGAAGAATAATCTCGATATTCGGGATCCTGGAGGACAAACGAAGACGATTAAAGTAGTTTTCCTTAAATACAAAACCGCTTCAGTTTCCGTTTGAGCTCGAACACGATATTGATACTACTGACATTTGGAAAGACACAAGGAAAAGAAATACGGTACAATTCTTGTGGATATGGCAATAATTGTAGTTTATTTAGTTATTGAGCGACTGAGCTCTCGAGTGAATAGAAAAGTTTACCCGCAGACTCCCGGACCCTGAATTTTTAAAAATCCTCCACTGCAATAACATTCGACTGCCGTCATCGTTGGTCAGAATGCAACTTTGTGCTCTCCATGCTTTGATATGGGGAGCGTGCGACACCTGAAGAGGGCGCGTCGCACCACCTTGGCAGGTGGTTGGCAGCGCCAGCAACGACAGCGTCCGCATTACGACGCATAGTGAAGTGTTGCCAGCTCCCACCTCTTCTAATGGGCCCGCTGCGTGTTGGCCGTGTCCGCACCTTCTCGCGGCCGTGTTTGTCAACCTCGGTCTGGAGCACGGTGTAAGATACACTCTTTAGATGAGGACACGGCGGGGCTGAACGCGCGGCGCGAGGAATCAGATAGTGTTCGTTCGACCGGCATCCGAAAGGCTGCATTCTTCCGCGGCCACCGTGCCCGCGGCTGACAGTGTCACCGGCAGCAAAACGGCGAAACTGTGTGAGAGCGAAAAAATTTTCTCGTTGCCATGACACCCCGGTACACCGTGATCTTTCTGGACGAGCGACAACCTCGCTGGAGCTATGCGTCTGTGGAGCATGAGGCGGCACGAGCCGTTTTTGCCGTGCCCACGGGTCGACGAGTCATCTGCCGGCGTCGCTTGAAACCATAGTGAGAGAGAGAAAGAGATAGAGTGAAAAGAGAACTTTATCTGCACTGTGCGAGGAGCGCGCTGTCCTCACCTGAAGAGTATTATCTTACACCGTGGTCTGGAGTAAAGGTTTCGCACCTGGACATTCGAAGAGCTAGCCGTGTCCAGCGTTGCTCTGTATGTGTTCTCAGGTTATTCGACCCACAGGAGTTGTTCGGGGCTCGGGTTCAATCGTGTGTCCCGCAGTTGTAAGCGGAAACGACGGAAACGCACCTCCATGTTTTTCGTTTATCTCCGCTGGAGATAAATGTACAAATCGCTTGTGTATCGACGGTTTGAAACTCACTACGGGACCACATTCAACAATGCCAGTGATTGATAAAATCTACATGAGATGTATTTTTGGCTTCTAGTATTATCAGATTAATCAGATTTATTTCTCTCCGATCGCTGGCCGATTGAGTACGCAGCACGTACTGGGATTCAGATGATCGCAGCTGTATTCACCAGCGCGTGTTCCCAATTTTCAGGTGTTGTGTAAAAAAAAGTTAGCACCAACTGTGGCTTCGAACGTTGTGTATAGTGCTGTGCTAAGGTAAGGTGACATTGGTAAGAAACTAAGTTGGCTGCCATACATGATGCCAATGCGAAAGGCTTTTATTAGAAGCCGCATCATGGCGCCACTACCTTTACGCACCCTGTGGCACGCTTCCAATAGCCGCATGTAATTCGTCTGCCTCATAAGGATGTCAGATATCTTCGCTACAGAGGCGCAATTCGGCCCGAGGAAGACAATGAAATTAATGGCTCTCAAACCTTAATCTGTGTGTGGATGGTTGATACGAATATATTAATTAAAAAAAGCTTAATTTTAATTAAAAAATATACTTAGTTATTGTTTCTTTGGTAAACATGTGGACACCGCATCAACTGCACCCAGAGGGTCAATTTATGCAATGAGCGTTCAGGTCACATGTTTTATATTTTTGTTAGTATTATATGCATATATACACCGCAGCAACATATTTCGCAGATATACAGGGTGTCCCAAAAAGACTTTTACAGCATTTATGACTAATATCTTGGAAAAAAAAGAGGTAGAAAGATGCGGTATGCAGTAATATGTTAAGGAACGCGTAAACGTTTGTTCAAGTAACCTAACATGGCGTTTTATGAGTTTGCAGGATGCGGGAATGTTCTGTTTTCTGATGCGCACATGCTCAGCCGGACCGGGGCGGAAGTGGAGTATCGACTAGATCACCTACGTGCTACTGATGGATCACATATTGAAGTTTGCTAAATGACTACAATAACACATTATGTGTTCCTTAATGGTTTACTACAATCCACACATTTAGAATTCTTTTTGTTTACAAGACATTAGTAATTAAAACATTAAAGGCCTCTTTGGGACACCCTGCAAAAAAAGGGAGGGCCTCGAGACGTCGAACTTTACGGGAGTTCGCCGGATACTTGTGTGCTCCTATCTCTTGTTTCGTGTTCCTCGGTCTCGGGTTTTTGGAAAAATAAAAATTCCCCAACACGCTCGTTCTTTGTTTTGTTTATTCAGGGTATTATACTTAGATTTCACTGCTGCTATTTTATATTAGATTGCACTGCCGTTATTTTCACTGCAACATCAGTACCTACAAACTTGTAGTTTGCTCGTGACCACAAATGGTAGAGTAATGCGGTGTGGTATGAACCATTGCAGAATCACATTAGCGCAAACCTTGCTTTCAAGTACAAATAAAATTGAAGACCATATATCTACGCGTCTGCATGTACGTAAGGAAAGGTGGCACAGCAGTCGTTCCTCTACACGTAGTAGGTCCGCGCTTTTGAGCCTTTACCCCGTTCAAAGTTCCCCTATAAAGGTGATGCTGCGCGGTAAAGCTCTAAAACAATAAAATTCGGCTCTTTTTGACCAAGGTTTTGTTGTCTATGTTCTCGTACACAGGCCCTTAAGAATATTGCTTGATGTTAATTTCGGCGTTTTTGCCAGATTTTGAGACGTTATTTGCATGTCAGCCTCATTTTGCGATGTGCATTTTGGGGCATTTTACGAAGTCCATACGAATAATTTCTGATACCACTTAATCGAAAGCGTGTTATGTTCAGACGTTCCGTACTTTTTTTTATAATATATCGAAATAATAAATTTTAGCTTGGGATTCTCATAAAATAAATTTTAAAAAAGTTATCACGAGCTGAATGAGTCAGTGTAAAAATTGCTTAGATGCAAAATACCACGTGAAATCTATTCCATTCATAAGCCTCGTGCTTGCCATTTTTTTATACGCGTGAGAAGTTTATATGCGCTGTTTATATTTTGATTGATGTGTATTTCCAAGGACATGCCTTAGATATACAAAAAATATCGACACCAGAACCCAAATCCATGATTGCGTCAACTAAATAAAACAACCTTTCTCGTCTCCAGCAGGTCGTGAGGCAGTGGAAGTGTCTCGCCCGCGTCACTATTGGAAACAGCCATTAGTTTCGACACCGGTAAAGCTTGATCCCACGAGAAGCATCCACTCGCTACGCG